CCCCCTCCTCTCCAGACATACATCCCCCTCCTCTCCAGACATACATCCCCCTCCTCTCCAGACATACATCCCCCTCCTCTCCAGACACATCCCCCTCCTCTCCAGACATACAGCCTCCGGGGAATTGCAGTCCCTACACTCTCTCACAGCACAGCTGATCCCCGATTATGAACTGCAATACCAACACGGTCTGCATCACAAGCCGCGTACAGGTCAGCTAACCATTTACAATCAGTATATTAGTAAGTCACATAGCATGCATATAAAGGAGAGGTTCTGGCTCGCCCCTGTAAACAGGGGGGCTCCGCGCCTGTAAACAGGGGGGCTCCGGGCCTGTAAACAGGGGGGCTCCGCGCATCTAAACGGGGGCTCCGTGTTTGTGTTGTGACTTGCAATGCTTCTCTTCTCTTCGCAGGGATTGACCAATCGCCTTAACACCGGAGTTGTAGCCGGGATTAATTACGCTCAGATCAATTTCGGCGCGGCTCAATCTCCTTATATGCCCCTAAACCTCGGAGCGTTGTCTGCTCCGGGCCTGTAAACAGGGGGGCTCCGCGCCTGTAAACGGGGGCTCCGTGTTTGTGTTGTGACTTGCAATGCTTCTCTTCTCTTCGCAGGGATTGACCAATCGCCTTAACACCGGAGTTGTAGCCGGGATTAATTACGCTCAGATCAATTTCGGCGCGGCTCAATCTCCTTATATGCCCCTAAACCTCGGAGCGTTGTCTTCACTGAATAATCAGCAACTGGAAGTAAGTAATAGAATGCAAATGTCCCCATACATGCCGGCGGGGCCCATCCACCAGATCTTACAAGGTGATATTGCCGTATCCATGACAACGAGCGTCGCCTCATGCCGCGTCCTGTCACCTTCTCATTGCAGGATCTTATAAACCAAGGCCGAGAGAAAGTGGTGGAAGCGACGAACAGCATCGCGTCTGCCAGGATTCAGCCTCTGGAGGACCTCATTGCCACAGCGGTGAGTGATCATCATCCCATCGTGTCTGCTTCCCCCGCTGATCATCATCCCATCGTGTCTGCTCCCCCCGCTGATCATCATCATATCGTGTCTGCTCCCCCCGCTGATCATCATCCCATCGCGTCTGCTCCCCCCGCTGATCATCATCCCATCGTGTCTGCTCCCCCCGCTGATCATCATCCCATCGTGTCTGCTCCCCCCGCTGATCATCATCCCATCGTGTCTGCTCCCCCCGCTGATCATCATCCCATCGTGTCTGCTTCCCCCGCTGATCATCATC